ATGCTCTGATCTTGCTGGACTCATAGATGTGAGAACAAAGTTGTCAACCCTGAGAAAGATTGAGATTGTCGAATTTTATAACCTTGGTCATTTTCAACTTCACTTGTTTGAAAGTTTGGAGGAATTGAGGCTTATTAGATGCTCTTTCTGTGCTACATTCTTAGATGTGAAAAGGGTGCCATCAACACTAAAAAAGCTTGAGATTGACAAATGTTTTGACCTGACTTACTTTCCAGTTTGCTTGCTTGAAAGCTTAGAGGAATTGAAGATTATTAGATGCTCTGGGCTTGATGCATTCAAAGATGTGAAAAGGGTGTCATCCACTCTGAAAAAGCTTGAGATTGACGAATGTTTTGACATGAATTTTTTTTCACTTCACTTGCTTGAAAGCTTGAAGGAATTGAAAATTATTAGATGCTTTGCTCCTGATGAATTCATAGATGGGATAACAATGCCATCAATATTGGAAAACCTTGAGATTGTCGAATGTAATAACCTTGGTTTCCTTAAACTTGAATTGGTTGGAAGCTTGAAGGAATTGAGGATTATTAGATGTCATAACTTTCTTGGATTTAAAGGCATGAAAAGGGTTCCACCAACACTACAAAAACTTGAGATTGTTGAATGTTATAACTTGACTTTCTTTCCACTTTGCTTACTTGAAAGCTTGGAGGAATTAAAGATTTTTAAATGCCCTACACTAGCTGGACTCAGACATATGGAAACAGAGCTATCAACACTGAAAAAGCTTGAGATTGTGGAGTTTAATGACTTGACCTCTTTTCCACATAACTCACTTGAAAACTCGAAGAAAATCAAGATTATTGGAGCCTTTGAACCTGCTGTATTAGAAGATGTTAGAAGGTTGTCATCAACATTGAAAAGGCTTGTGGTTGTCAAATGTTCTAACTTGACTAGTCTTTCACTTGACTTGCTCAAAAACTTGGAAGCATTCAGAATTATTAGATGCTCTGATTTTGTTGGATTCATAGATATTAAAAGGGTGCCATCAACATTGAAAAAGCTTGAGATTATCGAATGCTATAACTTGAATTACTTCGAACTTCACTTGCTCGAAGGCTTAGAAGAATTGAGAATCATTAGATGCTCTGAGCCTGCTGCATCCATTGATGTGAGAAGGCTGCCATCAACACTGAAGAAACTTGACATTGTCGAATGTTCTAACCTGTCTTACTTTCGACTTGACTTGCTTGAAAGCTTGGAGGAATTGAGGATTACTCGTTGCTCTGGGCCTGCTATATTTATACATGTCAAATGGCTGCCACCAACACTAAGAACGCTTCAAATTGATACATTTTGGGGTTTCTCTTTCCGTATACCATGTGAATCAGATGTCTCAAAAAAATTAAGAAATAGGTACGACGTGAAACTTTACCTTCCACTAGAGAGGTTCAAAGTTCTGCAACAGTTGATACTTCAACACAGCCCACAACTTTGCATCTCAGAGGATAAAAATCTGCCATCAACACTACAAGAACTTTCCATCATTGGGTGTCCAAAATTGGAAGAATGGTGCAAAAGACACCGTCAAAGATTAGTGAACATCCGGATGTTGGAAATAGGAGAGGTACGCTTTAGAGCGCCGACGGAGGACGAGGACGAGGATGAGGACGACGACGTGGATTAAGAGGACAACAAGCCTTCGAGTGCGAGTCCGATGATTGGTCCGGGATTGGAGATGAGGCTGCGGAGATGGTAAGATACTTCAGATCGGCAGCATTGGATGGCCAAATCTTCTACCCAGGTACCCATCCAGTTTTTGTTCTCTAGTCCAATTTACTAGGTTAGAGACTGAGGACGAGGTCTGCAGACCTAGGCAATCATTCATAATTTCCTGTCTACTTGTAGCATGAGCTATAGTGCATTAAAAGACGAGAGAAGTGCACCATCAGACGAGGATGAGGACGACTGGACCTCGAGCGTGAGACCAACGATTGCCCCAAGATTGGAGATGCGGTTGCAGAGATGGTAAAATACTTCAGATCGGCAGCATTGGACGCCCAAATCTTCTCATGATAAAATAGATAAAATATTTGGCTTGATATATTTCGTTAGCTTGGAACGTGATTTCTTATGTATGGATATATGGAATTTTACTATTTTCCTACTTCACAATATATTACACTATTTTACATTGTATCTTCTCATGTACTGAAATATGAAGAATCATATGTTGCAATGTTCCTACAAGTGCTTTTGTGGATTTGTGACTCACTTTGTTCCTATGACTTTCATATTCAAGTTCATGGATTGAACAAGTTGCATTTGTGAATGAGTGACGTTGAGGTCGTTGATGTGGGCTGCTGTTTGAGAGTCCCGCGTGAAAGTGTCCGTTTCCAGGCCAGAAACCGTGGGGGTGACGAGAGACGAGAGTGTTGTGCTCTCTGTGAGTGCCGCGTAGAAGTGTCCGTTTCCATTGTCGAAGCCACGTGGTCTCCTCAGGCGACCGCCGGGAGCCGGTCACCGAACGTGAAGTCAACTCTACGCTGATATGGAACCTGCGTGCATAAAACGGAGGAATCAGAGATTTCAAGATCGGATTGTTGCGGTTCCAAGAGGCGGACATCTGAGTCCGGAAGAGGAGCCCGTGAAACCCGTTTGGAGAAATGCCTCAGAGAAAAGCAAAGGCTTAGCTTCCCCCTGAGGGGTCTTCGTTATCGAGGGAGGAGGAGGAGGAGGAGGAGGAGGAGGAGAAACAGGGGGGGATTGTTCCGGGGATTGCAGAAAGTGGGGGAGATGAGGAAAAGGCTATTGGTATGAAAAGGAAGAACTCATCAATATATGGATGGCTCACGGTTATATTACTCAAATGAAAAGAGGGAAAAAACAACTAAAAGACATTGGTAAGGAGTATATAAATAAGCTGGTATCAAGGTCTTTATTTGAACAGTTTGAATTTGGTGGAACATTCAAGTGGTTAATGATGCATGACTTGATCCATGATCTAGCGAGAGATCTTTCACTGGGTGAATGGGGGAATGTGGAGAATGGTAGGTTTTACGGCAATCAAAAGGGCACTGTTCTTCATTTCTCAATCATTTCCACTGAAAATCATCCCCAGAAGCATGTTTGGCGGAAACCAAAAATTCGATGTCTATTATTTCTCAAGAGAAGTCTGGAATCGTGTTATTTGAATGATTTATGCAGCAGAATGAAGTGGCTAAGAGTTCTTGATACGAGTGATAATGGACTAGAGAATCTGCCAGACTGCATTAGTGATCTGAAACTGCTACGTTATCTTAATCTTCATAGAAACCCAATCACTAAGCTGCCTAAAGCCTTGGGGAGCTTACATCTCCTGGAAACACTAAACTTGAATTTTACTCGCATCAAGATTTTGCCTGACACGATTTGCTCCTTGAAACGCTTGCGTTATCTTGGTATTTATAAGACATACAATAATTACCTCTCAGATGGTATATCAAATCTTTCAAGTCTGAGATGTCTCTTCTACAACAAATTTGTTGTATTTTCCTCAGAGATTAAAAAACAGACTCACCTTCGAATTAATCATGACGTACATCATTCAACAGTCAAAAAATTGTTTCATTTTAACTAGAAAATCTTAGACAACATGAAACAGTTCAGGCAGAGAAGAAAGTGAAACTATTTGACATACTTCTTGAGGTTTTTGTTGTCATATTTTATTCTACTTTTGTTCCACCATAGAAAGAGAGTGTTTGGGACAGAGCTTCCAAGAAAGATTTCTTGGGTCAAAGTTAGTTTAGGATCTCGAAAGGGTCAAGATTAGAGAATTGCTCTTTAGGTTCTTGAGGAGTAATTATCTTATATTACGTTTCATATATTGTAAAGTTTTCATCATTACACGTGGACATAAGAGGCTAAACCTCTAATTCACGTATAAATCCTTACGTAGATGCTCTTGTTGTGAGTTGTGAGTTATTCTACCTTACTTTGCATTGTGAGCATCACTTCCACTGAAGTCCATATAAGATGTCTTATTTTAATAATTGAAATTTATAATAATTATCCTTCTACAATGTACATAGTATAGATATGCACTAGATGACCTCCATAGACAATAAAGTTTAGACCAAAGTGAAATTTAGAAACAAATATAACTAGGGTAGAGATGAACTTAGTCATTTATCTACTCTCCCTAATAAGAATGAGTGAAATCTCAACTAGACCTATACAATGTAACATAAATTTCTTATTTTACAATAAATATGAAACAATGATTCTTATCATTAGAGCAAGTTTTCTAAACACCATAGAAATAATTATCAAGAGCAAGAAGAATAGAACAAGTTCTTCATCTATGTGCAGGTAATCTTCTACCCACTTAACTAAAATAGGCTTTGTTGAGTTCATCTGACGTAACCAAACTATCAAAATCATTGGTAAGCTCAAATAAAATGAATGGCTAAGCCAGTTATGTAAGTTACATTCAGCACAAATGCAGATTGGTTGTGTTAATTTGTTATTCGATGAAAATGGTAGACAGCAGAACCTAGCTCACTTAACTTATCCTTGAAAGTATCATACTAAAAATTGAAATAGATAAGCCCATGGTAGAGAATGCTATGGAACTACGAGTCCAATAAATTTGAACCCTAGAACAAGGCGTGGTTAACCATTTCTCAAGTCAGATCCTAGTACCCGCAGATGAAAGCAAGAATTTCAATCAGATAAGAAGAGCCTTCTGCTTGCCCAGAATGACTTCTCATCATCTCCAAATCCTTTTATGTCCTCATTTATAATACATCATAAGCATGCATTCATTATGATATCAGCATTTATATATTCCGACCCAAAAAATAAAAAGTGAATAAATCAAAATCGAAGATAGAATCTCACCATCCAACGCAAATGATACAACGCAAGTCTGTTCTTAGAAAGATAAATGTTAATAAGTAAGACCCAACACAGAAAACTACAAAGATACATTCTTCATCGTCTAAACTCACCTGATCCCCTCTCTAAGCTAAAGCTAAGGCGTCGCCCCTCCAGATCATCTATAATTCTAACTTCACAACAGCTGTAGAGGGTGCCTCAGACATGGGCGCGTACTGGAGCCAGTCCCTGGAACAGAAAAGGGCCTCCACTGTCTCAGGCAGCAAGGAACTCCGGTACTCGTCCAGCAGCCTGCTCCCACTTCCGGTGTTGAAAATGGAGCTCGTCGGCATCGTCAGCATGGGGATGGCCAACACGTCCTGGGCCATCCTCGAGAGCACAGGGTACTTGAGGCTGTTCAGCCTCCACCAGTTCAGGATATCAAATCCTTGTATGCGGGGCATCAGGGCTTCCTCCAGGTACTGCTCCAGCTCAGACTTGGTTTGCTGCGTCACAGAGATTTCAGAGATGTAGATGTCGAAATCCACCAGCCTGTCACCGGTAGGCAGGGCGTGCTCCTGCTGCTCGCCACTGTCAGCAGTGCCTGCACTGGCGTCCACAATGGCATTATCAATGGTGACACCTTCATCGATGACAGCATCCTCAACGGTGGCAGGAGTGGCATCCATAGCGGCAGCAGCATCATCCATGGCAACAGCAGCAGCAGCAGCAGCAGCAGCATCATCCATCGCAGCAGCAGCATCGTCAATGGCAGCAGCAGCAGCAGCAGAATCCTCAGCAGCAGCATCAACAGCAACCTCAGCATCATCAGAAGCGGAAGCAACAGGAGCAGCTTCATCAGAAGAAGCGACAGGAGCAGCATCATCAGGAGCAGCAGCAGCAGCAGCAGTGTTGGTGTCCTCAGCAGCCTGTCCATTGCCGTTCGTTAGAGCATCACCCGGGGCTGGTTGGGTGTCCATTGGATCATCAGTCATGGCCATGTCAGCAGGACTTCCCACTGGGGTGGCAACACCATTGTCTAGGTCCCTCTGGTGGTCTTCATAAACTGGCACCAATGAAATCGGGTGGGTGATGTATTCATCAAACAGGGCATGTATGCCATCATCCACCACCTTGATGTACCTGCCAGCATCTTCACCGTAGAGCTTGGAGAAGGCAAACTCCACGAATTTCATCTTAAAGCGAGGATCCATAACCACAGCGATGGCCAGAACGAGGCTGCAATCTTTCCAGTACTTGTCAAACTTCTCGTGCATCTCCTTAGCAACGCTGCAGACCGTGCCGTCCTCACCAACCGCTGCATTGGCGAGCTCCAAATGGATCTTCCATGCTTCATGGAAATACATATTCGCTGTCGGATCTGCCGCCCCCATGATCACATTTGCAGAGTCATAGAGAAGTTTAAGGTATGTGCAGACAGTGTCCACCTTCTTCCAGTCATCTGGGGAGGGAGCTTCATTGTAATGGGGATCACAAGTCTCCAAATAGGCGAATGCATGCCTGAATTCCAGGGCACCGGCCAGCATAAGGTAGGTTGTGTCCCAGTGAGACTGGACGTCCAAGGACAGGGGCCTTGTGCATGGTATCTCCAGCTGCTGAACAATCTCTGCAAACCTCTCCTCACGAACCAGAGAAGCCTTTACATACTTAAGGCTCTCCCGAATGTTGTAGATGATCCCATGGATCGATGCGATCACATCCTGGGCAGCAACGTTTAACAAGTGGGCATAGCAACGAACAACAAAGAGCTGACCTTTCAGGGTCAATGTGTTCTTGTTTGACAGGTGGTCCCTCAAGTTAGCACTGTAGATGTCATGTGAAGAGCAATTGTTGTCCAAGGTAATAGTGAACAGTTTGCTCTTGATGTTCCAGTCCGAGAGACAGAGCCCAATGACATCACTAAGAGCATTTTCCGAATGAGGTGAGGAAACCATGCTGAAGTTGAGCACACGACTATGCAACTTCCAATCATTGTCAATGAAGTGCCCGGTCACACTCACATACCCTAAGGTCTGACTGGTTGTCCACAACCCAATGCTGAGGCAGACTCGCCCAGGGATCGTGCCAAAGAGCTGGGTGAGGCTCTGTTTCTCCTTATTGTAAATCCCCAAGATCTCCTTCTCAATGGCTTCATGATTGGGCATCTTAAACTGAGGCTGGAGGCCCTGAATAAAGGTTTTGAATGCAGTGTGTTCAACCATGTGGAGTGGGTACTCTTGCATGATGATCATCTTTGCAAGATCCATACAGCTACGATCCTGGTCAAAGTTCAAGCTGGTGCGCCACCTGTAGCGTCTTTTGGGCGGATCAGTGCTGTTACCATCAGTTTTTGAACCTGACGTTAAAGCAAGTTGCCTTTTTTCTTGCCGGAGTTTTGAGCAAGAACCAACAGTGATGTGGCGCTTCAGGTGGCTGGTTCCAGCTATCTTCTTACCAGTGCTGTAGGCAAAGCTCTGGTTGCACTGTTTGCACAGTGCCTTTGTGCATCCATCAGATACAGTCTCGATGGTGAAATGCTCCCAAACTAGTGATCTCTTTCTCCTGCGCCTGGAGGTCGGTGCTGCTTCTAGAGCAAGTGGTTCAGTGTCACTCACCCCTTCCATGCTGAATATATCGATGGACCAAACCTGTTTTATTGAGAATTGTCAGGAGAGAACTGGACAGAAAAGCCTTTACTTTTCAAAAAAATAGCAGCAGCATGAAATATGAGAAGCCTATTCTTCTAGAACAAAAAGGAGATACTTTCCACTAGGAAGGGAAGAAGAAAAGGAGGTCACAACTACTCTGACAATAACCAACAATGGACGCAACAAAAGGAAGGCTTTCATACGATGGGGAATTAATTTCCAGGTTTTTCCAATTATATAAGGCACTGATAAAATCCTTAGAACGTGCACAAAAAGTATTCCTTCCTAAAGGTAAAGTTTACTGTGAAGTGGCATTAAGTACAATGAAATGTTGCTTGGGATTACACTTCAGGAGTCACAATGGTTGCCGCTCAGGAAGGAAATCAACCATCTTAGAAAGCTGCTGTTTCATCTGGGCAAGATCTTTTCTTACTGCACGAAATTAGCTCATAGCATAATCAATTAAAATTTATTTCAACTAATTTGAATTAAACAGTAGTCATGAGTGATTCATTTTGTATGCACTACTATAACACCTATCACCACAATAGGTGTGGTGATAGACACAAAAATCATTTTTAAGGAATCATTTTTAGACCACAATAGACAAACATCTTACAATTTTTTTTTATTTTGACACATTTGTGAATGTGTTGCAGTATCTTTAAGGATTTTCATAATAATGTTTCAAGTTTTCAGGTGGTATATGGTTTCCAAACGTTAATTCATCATTGTACATATACCACCTTACAAGACTATAGCGTATGTGTTGAAGTGCATGGATTATAGCACCGGTTAAGCTGTGACTTCTGCAGGGTAAAATTTAAACGATTACACTTTAATAAAGTGTATGAATAATCAACCTGAATAATCAATCTCACTGAATATGGAACCCAACCCAATAGTTCAGGCAATAAACAAGGGGGTAAAAGTACAGCAACAACCAATACAAAGCACATTCCAGTTATATCATCTAGGAGAGCCCAAATGCCTTGTGCTCCTTTAATATCTTGTTGACTGGGTAATGCCTAAGAAAACATCATGAAAACCGAGACAAGGAGACAATAATACTTTTTTTTATTTAGAATAGGGCACTAACACATCAGAATTTTCAAGCAAGTATTCGTCTGTATTACAGAATGTAAAGATATAGTTCCAGGTGAAATCTGATCCTTCAACCTTTCTGTAAAACCCTCCATTCCCTGGACTCAGAATCATTTTTTCTGTTTAGAATAATGTACTAAATCAGATTTCAAATCCCAGTACTTCATTACATTAAAGAACGTAGATATATAGTTCCAGGGCAATCTGATCCTCCAACCTTTCTGCAAAACCCCTCCTCTCCCTGGCAAGACAGAAACCTCCCTCTGCTCTTCCCCTCCAACACCATGCCCCTCTCCGACAACATTCTGGCTCCTTACCCAACACCCTCCCACAAAAAAAGAGATAATTCAAAGCAAAACAGTAACTTTTAATGTGATTTTAAACTCTTGTTGTCACACATTTAATGCTTGATCCAAGGTAAAAGTAAGATTGTTGAGCTATAAGTAAGAACTAGATACGATTGAAGCACACCAGCACATCAAACATTGAAACTAATTGCTGAGGAATGCATCACAAAATTGCAAATGAAGGAAAACACAACTTACTCTGCCTCCCTAACGAAGAATAACTCAAAATGCATCTATAGATGACAAAGAGAGTTGACTGAACAAAGGATTCAATGCAAGCTTTCAGAGAAAAAAAAAACATCAGTGCATACGAGCATGAGCACCAGTAGCATTCCCATCACAAAATTGCAAATGAAGGAAAACATAAAGAACTTAGCCTTCTTCCCTCACAAAGCATATTTCAAAATGCATGTACTGATGAAAAGAAAGAACTCATTGACTAAACACAGGATTCAATCCAAGCTTTCAGAGAAAAAAGAACAGTGCATATGAGCACGAACACCATTAGCATTCTCATCACAAAATACGAAACCTGAACAGGCCTCCTATTCTACTGACCTTTTTTCCTTCAATTTCCATGTTTTTCTTCCAACATTTCACCAGATTTCTCTCTCCTTAATTGGAAAAATATATTCTTCCCTCTACTGTCAGGAGCCACTTCAAACGACACACTCTCTATTGGATGGATCCCTAGGCACCAGTTGGTGCATATAAAATGCAAAACAGCACACTACTCTATGCCCCATATTTGAGGACCCATCCAGTAAAACTGAAGCTATATTCTATCTACGTGAGACTACCAACAAATAATGACAGCAATGCAAAAGGCAATGATCATTAGATAATCATCTAACAAGAGGAACTCCTGTAACTCGCTCATGACAAAGACAATAGTAACACAAAGCCAGGTAAAAGAAGATAGTGCAAGGTCGCTCTATATAAAATAGCATTGTAGCATGTGCCATCAACAAGGTCTGGAGCTGAGGCTGACGATGGATCAAACCAAGTAAATAATATATAATAATTCACTCGCTTAAAAATAAGGTTATATTCGCTGAAATAAACATTGTAGGACATCCCATAACAAGTAAGCCAATATTGGTCAGATATTCTACGCTCCAAAAAGTGAGTAATGCTAGTAAGATAGCACAGTGAATCTAACTGTAACAAGTAGGTAAAGACAGAACATTCAAATAAATAATGAAAACACCGTAGTGAAATTACCTATTATAGCAACGTTTCTGTAATCTTAAGAGTGAACGTTGGAAAAATTTAAAAGAATACATGATATCCAAGAAAATTAATGCCTTAATCAACCTACTTATAACCAAAATATATCTACAGGTAGTGTAAACCTTATGATATATAATGATAGCGACAGGAAAATTAAGGAACCTAATCAAATGAAATAACCTGGAGTAATAACACCCACAAAACATTAGAACCAAATGCAGATTATGATGTCATCAAATGCATCTCAATTATGAAATAAAGCCGAAAAGCAATATGTTGAAATCAGCACGAAATCAAGACTGAACAGAGAAGGAAGACAACCCATATTATAACAGCCAATGTTCTAACTTTGAGCCCTTATCGAAGTTCAGTGAACTCCTCAAAGAAAGAAAATTAATCCCAAAATTAAAAGTACCTAGATAGGTAAAGTGAAATTTTCGCACTGAAAAGAATGTACAAAAATTAAATGCAGCTACAGAAAATTTTCCAATGGAAGTAAATACATCAGTTTCAGAGAGCATGCACGAAGAAGCAATTCGTAAATAGGAGACATCAAGGGATGACTGATAGAAGACAAACTCTAAAACCTGGAATGCACATCTTCATAAAGTATCATGCCAAACATGCGAACAAATTAATCTCAGCACAAAACATAATTAGTTTAGGCCTCAAACAGAACTGCGAGACAGGAATCCACATCAACTGAGTATCGTGGATTAGTGGTGCGGGAGTGATAAAACATCCACGAAGAGGAAGAGAAAAAAAACATTCTGGCAATTCAACGTTAACAGAAGCTAGCTAACCAACTAAGAGAAGAAGCAACCAAACCAGTTCAGATGGAGCCCTAACTGAAAAACCCACTAAAGTGATATCCAAAATCAGCACTGCTTGAACAAAACTAGGAACTTTCACATCATACGAACCCATCCAACACCTCAACAATCAACTTCAACATAGTTAAATCATCGCTTACTGGGCTCAACTTGATAAGAAAAACCCCAAGCACACACAAAATACTCTCATAAAGGGATATCCGTCACACGAGCCTTAATATCCGCCAGACTAAGTTAGATTTGAACAAGTTTAGACCCAACTCTATCCCTCAGATAGCAATTTTTCATGTTAACGTATTGATGACAGAAACTAGAGTAATACGTCTTATCTCAAACGAATATCGTGACAGATTCCTTCCTTCCATTGGAAGAATATGACAAAATGTTATAAATCGTCTCTAACCGACCCTCCCACCACTACTCAATCCGCGTATGCAGTATCGAAGAATCTTAGAACAGTCACTGGAGCCGATTTTCGAAACGCCCAAACGAAGAAGGAAGCTGTCCACGGGCTTTGAACAGAAGAAAAAAACTTTCCACAAAGCCACTTAAAATGGGCTCATAGTGGAGCTGGGCCTGAACAAGCCCACTGTATCCAAACCCTAACGTCACTCTTCCTATATACGAAGAACCGGGAAAGAGCCATTTGACTAACCAGGGAACATTGAAAACCAATAGGCCACCATCATAGAAAAGAAACCCATCCACAGTGAGAAAGTTAGTCGCCAGGAGGTAAAATTACGAGAACCAAACAAAACACCATCTCCCCCGTTAAACTCAACGACAGGTCCGACCCCAAAGGTTTCTTACCGGCCAACACGAGGGAGAACGGAAGAAGAACCGAAATCAAAGAGCGAGCCTTCGAGGTTTCCCGCAAGAACAATACGATTACGAGAGGAGAGGGCGAGAGCACACATAAAAAGAAGACATGCAAGAAAACTTTCGCTCAAACACAAGATGGCCCCCGCAAGATCAACAACGCGGTTCTCACCAGCAGTCAGAGGTTACGAGCTGCGACCCACCCGTCAACCTCCGGATCGACGCGGATCGGCCTGCGGCAGGGTTTCACCGACTGCACCGAGACGCAACAACCAAAGCAGCCCAACCGAAGGCGCGGCCTTGCCGAGCAGAGAAGCACCACGCCACAGGCTAATGGACGACGGGCTCGGGCTTGTAGAATCGCCGGCGATCCCCGCCGGGGTGGGCAAAGGTCCGTCCGGCGATGGGCCTAAACCCTAGATTTGGGCGAGGAGGGCAGCAGCAACGACGGAAAGTAGGCGGCCTATCCACATCTCAAATCCCGCTCTTCTGGATTTTTAATGGACTCCCGAGCCCAGTAGGCCCTCGAAGACCCGATATCGTCTTAATGGGCCCACCCCCCTCTGGACCTATGGCAGAGGATGACCCATGCCCCATTACCGAACCGATATCCTCTCTACGTCACCATCCCTCCTTCCTAAAAGGATACTTATTGATATATCCTCATTAAAAAAATCGCCAATTCATATTTTTTAATAAATAGATATTTTAAGGGTTTATTCACTGTCCTTCAGTTTTAAACGGATACTTATTGGTATATCGTCATAAAAATCATCAATTAATATTATTTAAATGAAATATGTAATTTTTGAGGAATTATTTATCTGGCCTTCTACTGTTTCCCCTCGTAATGGGCCCACATCGTCAGGATCTATGGCAGAGGATAAGCCAAACCCTTCTACTGTTTCCACGTTACTATCCTTTGTCCTAAACGGATACTTATTGGTGCCCTACTTGCCAACGCATTCCCGTCTTAATGGGCCCACAGCGTCTGGATCTAGGGTTGGAGACGACCCATTCCGCATTACCAAAATTCAAACGTCCTCATTCCTAAACGGATACTTATTGGTGTACTCAAATACCCTCAAAGTTTTAAGGAACTATTTATTTGACCTTCTACTGTGTCAACGCATTGCGTATTAAACGATAACCCGATCCCGAGGGAAACGGGGCTGATACCACGTGGCAAACCAAGCGAACGCCACGCCTGACGAGGCATGGCGGTCACATGGGGAAAGGGCTACGAGGAGTAGATAAGAAGGCGGTGCCGCGGCCAACGGAACTCGAATCGCGGGCCTCACCGGGAAGATCCAGATTCGAATTTTTCAAATATTTGCCGCCTATATATAATTTCATTTGAACAGATATATTACAAATAGACACTGTTTTTTCATCCAGAACTACTTAGTGTTTAATATTATATTAAATTAAATAGATATATATATATATATATAATATTTTATAATTAATTATATACGTGTTTATTTTATTTGCAGTTTGTATCAAAAGGGTGTTGGAGACTTCTTATTAGGAGAGTCAACTAATTTCCTATATATGAAAATATTGGAAAGTGAGTTGACTCCCCCTTTCCACAGAAAAGTGAAAGCACAAAGTTTGAAAGTAATTCATTGTAATTATGTAAAAAATTAGTCCCATATTCATTATCTTTAGATGACATTTTTATTTTCTAAGGCTTATTGAATTCAAATGATCTTCGAAAAACAACCAAAATACCTCTTGATGAATTAGGTAAAATTTGAACCATGTACATATAAACTTTTTAGAAAAGAAAAAACCAATTGTCAACCACAATATGAGGCATCGAAAGGGTTCATTTGTGTATGATTGGTATGTACCATTTAATGTGCCAACCCATGACATAGTTTATCCCATTAAAAGAGTTAAACATTGATTTATTCAATGGGAAACTCTCTAAAATCGAGTCGATCTTAAACATAGATAGACTAAAGCTTCAAACTCAAAAAGGAGTTGACTCTTTTATATCATAAGAGATATAAAACAAAAAATTAGCCACTCTCTTTATAGATTTTTTTTTCAAAAGAGGCTAAAAATAAAGGGTCCTAAGGATTCCCAATTACATCAAAAGGCATGTGTTGCTTATATGCGTGGCTACTTTAAATAAATCATATTTAATGAGTTTAAAAATGACCATAACATATGTCTTCTACTTTATATTCATGTGTTGCTATTTCTTATATAATGGATTAACATATTAGCTTTATGGTAGACTTATGTTACTTCGTATGTTTTTCAAGAAGAATAAAGTTAGTTCAAATCTTTTTAATTGGTTCAAGAATTGAATTGTCAATTTCCACATATTTTTTAACCCAAGGAAAAAAGTGACTCAAGTATTTAAGATCTTTAAAGTCAACCAAAGTTTATTATCGTATATTGAGAACTAGAATGTACATGCCTCTTGAGTGAAGAACATGTCTTGAAGACATACTCAAGATGTCGCTAATCATTTTGAAGATTCATTTTCTAAACATGGAGATCATCACTTTTATGAAATAACTAGAAACTAAAAGGAAATTTCAAGTGTTTTATCTCCATCTTACATCTAATCTTCTAATAATTCTTTGTCCTTGGGTATCTTATACATACCTCAATATTGAAGCAGGGAGATACAAAAGGGAGACTAGAAAATGATGATAGTTGTTGTCAAAATTAACCATGAAGACCCTAAACTACAGTGAGATTGATAACAAACTAGAGAAATGAGAGAGAGAGAGGAGGGGGGAAGGAGAGAGAGAGAGATTATTGTGTGATACAAGAGGGAAACAAAAGAGATCTGGTGGAGACTCTTTTGGAGAAATTGGGGGTGGCTAATTTGAGACAACTAATCTCTAGGACTATGAGGAAACTTTGTAACAACATCTTGCTCTCTCCTTCAAATCTTGGTGGTCTTATAAGCTGTCCATTATTCTTTGAGTTTTCCATTGTTTCTACTTTGAGTCATTGGTCCAACCCCTAATGGCCCAGCTACTTTTGAACTTTTCCATCCTATTGTGGTGAAGTTAGGTTGACTACCTCATTCTTTGTTTTTGAAAAAGATGTTGTCATTTGACAGCCCAATGTTCCCCAAAAAATCATTTGAATTATTTCTCTAGGACCTCTTTTCATGTGGAAGTGGGCTAGTGGTTAATGCCTCTACAGTATCACTACACACACTTTGTAAAGCTCATAGTGCAAACAACTCCACTAATATTCACATAACTAGCATGCTAAATCCTTCAGATTTCTAATTTAAGACAACTTGAGTAGCTAGGAAGATTTACAAATAACTTGATGTTCTCTATGATGACTTTATGTTGAATATAAGTTACAAGCTTACATAATATCATTCACTAAAGCTCGAGAAGAACCTACTCCATCTTCTACAAAAAAGTAATTACTTCTCTCAAAGAGAGAATCAAAAACATCATCTTACAACTTATTTGTGATGATCTATGAGTCAATCAATCATAATGAAGGTTGTCTTTCTCTATCAAGTCCTAAGATAATCTAAATGGTGAGTTGAGAGAGGGTTAAGCTAAGACATGAGATGTTTAAAGTTGAAAACTACTTGTGGACAATGTTGTTCTCTTAGAAATATTATGTATTAACTTAGGCATTTGATTTTGAGAGTCAATATCTATCTATGAGGGGTACGATATATCTAGATATCAAATAAAAGTGTTTGAACTGTTAATCTAGTGAAAATAATTGTATTTCTAAAAAGAAATAGTGAAATCTAATAAGTAAATATTATGAGAATTGATGTAGCACAGTGAAAGGTGAATCAACATGAAAACCTTTGTGTTTCATATAGTCACAAGTGAGAGAGAGAGACTAGACTGATCTTGTGATAAAAAAAGAAGTGACTTAAGTGAATCTTCATATAAGTCTAAGAGATTGTGTTATAATATGTTTTGACACGTACACACAAATATAATATTATAATATTAATATAAGTCTAAAAGAAAAATGTAAGATATTAATTCACCTCCCCCTCCCTCTTAATACTTCACTTAGTCACATCAAACCCAACACAAAGGAGATATTAACATTCCTACACTAAGATGAGAACCTAAGCATATGATTGATCACATGACTGCCAATGCACAAGTTGGAGCAAATGTAGGCCCGCTCTTATACAATGACATGAATGTATATCTTGATGCACTAGTAATCATAACAATTGACACAACAAATGAAGTGATGCCAACAAGTAGTGGGATGCTCAAGATAATGCCCAATGGCTACCAAATAGGAACAATGGTCACCCATTATAAGTAACAACTAAGAGGGCCCCTCACAATATATATAGAGTGCCCCACTAGTTGGAAAGATCATGAACCTTTTTTATATTAGCTTCTATGGTGCTCTCTATTTATGTAAATATGAATGAAAGGTTAGCTGAGGGAATAAGAAGATGCCCCAATGTATACAATTAAGCAAGTGTGTAATAGTGGTTAAGTGAAATACCAAGAAGGAGATTAAATTAATTTTTTATGTGTCAACACACATTCTAACACAATCTACGAAGTATATATGCAACTTAACTTATGAGTTTTATCTAAGTCATATATTTCCTTTAATTTCTTTCTCTCTTAGTCTTAGTGATGGTAGATAGAGACTTTACACTAATTTACCTTTTATTGGGCTATGTCTAGTATTAGACGATTCTTCTTATTTTTACTATTTTTCAATAAACATAAAATTGATTTCAAGAGTTTAACTCTCCCAACACAACTACTTGATCTCTATAGAGATCTTGCCCCTCATAGATAAATTTTGACTTACAACATTATGTGCTTAAGTTAAGGTATAATTATTTTCAAAAAACAGCACCCTTCATAAGTAGAATCTGACTTTCAACATCTTATGTCTTGATTTACCTTTTCTCTTTTCACCAATTAAGTTACCTTAAGGCATGATAGAGAAAGACAACCTTTAATGTAGCTATTTAATTTGTATGTTACCACATATGATCAAGTAAAATAAAGTTTTGATTCCTTCTTTGAAGTACATGGTCACTTTGTTGTAGAATGTTGAATGATTCTTCTTCATGAGCTTGTGTGAGTGATATAGATGAATTATTTATTCATTCAATATTAACTTCATTTTTTTTCAACTCACTCTATTTATATTTCAATGGATCCATATTATTTTAGCATATAAAAAAAATCATATTAATTTGAGTATCTTTTAGTTGCTCTAGTAGTGCTTTAGTGACCTCCAACTATTTTTCATTTCTAAACTTTCTACTGTAGTGATAGTTGTTCACAATATCTTGTTTGAAGATTTATATATGATCTACAAATATTTCTTCTTTTATAATCTTAGTCAAAGGAGATCGTTTAGTTTGTCTTTAGTCTACATCTTCTACTGAGGAGTTACTATTTATAATTCAGGCTTCTAACCTTTAGTCATACTTATGCTTATATCTTCTAGTTTGTAGGTACAATATCTTTAATATTATGTCTGAAGTTACTTAGCTGATCAACATACATACTATCTTCAAGATCAAACTAGGATATTGTCATTGAATCTATCTTATAATTTATGAATTCTAATAACATGTCTAAAGTGTGTGAGGCTGACCTTGAGTTTTTATTTACTTCGAAACATGTGGGTTTCTCATAAGTGGTCTTTGAAATTTTTATTTAAAGATATGTTTAACTTTAATGATTGATCTTTCACATGATACTAAGTTGAAGTTTGATCATTTTTATTTTGTCATTTTATTTTTTATATGTAAAAATTTGATGTGTCAACATATAGATTAAATAATGATGATTACTCTACCTTCTTTATTACTTTTCATGAATGATTCTATTTAACTACCTTGTGGATTTTGAGTTCGAGTTTTACTTCAGTTATTAATCATATATTTTTACTTTAGATATCTCAACCAACTTTTCACGCATTGTTATAGTACTAATAATTTAAATTTTGCCCATATTTTTATTTAAATAATTCAACTATCATTTTTCCTACTTTTGTTAGGCTTACTTCTTGAGTTCAAATCTCATATATGAAATTATGTGTTTTAGATATTTTAAATATTTTTCATATTGATGGTTTATTCTTCAGATTACTCAAGTACTGCATTTAAATCTCACTTCTGACTTTAATTTTTTAGAATATATGTGAGACTTCGTCACATCATGTTAACACATTATAATGCACTTATATTCAAATAATATTATGTTACATTACTTTAATATAAAATATTATCACTAGGATGTACTCTTTGGATTCATTGTTAGTCATAGAATCATATAATATATCATCAATATATATAAATTAATATTTATCAATATTATTTTTCTCGTGATGAACTAAATCGTGATATATATAGATGAATTATGTTTTAACTCATTCAAGAATAATTTAGAAATAAATATTTTATTGTATATATCAAAACCTACTATGTGTCATTATTGAGGACATAACTCTAGATTGTTTGTAAGTACTTGTGATGCATCAAAAGTTAAAAACTTATTTGAGACATCAAAGAATACCTAGAAAATCATGAACTTGGAAGACATAATGACCAAGAGTGAAATATAAAGATCTTGTGCCATTCACGAAGAGGAGATCCACCTAAGAATTGCAGGACTACAAGGCATAATTCAAGCACTATTTCAAGCTAGTAAATAGAGTAGATGTTGCAGTTGATGACATGATATCCTTCAAACACATTAAGTCAATCAGTGATTATATTGTGAGCTTTTAGTACCCTCATGTTTGATATTGAGAAATATGAGAGAGTAATCATCACTACTTCTTCCTCTTTAGATTCCAATCATAAGCTCATGCAGAAGTAGATAGAGGTACTTAAGATCTTGAAATATTTTATGCTATAATTGAGTCACTAGTAGATTATTTGGCCCCAAAATAAAGTAGTCAGCTATTTTATTTTGGGGCCACTCATACCAAATAGGAATAAGAGGAACCGAGGTAGTGGCCACATAGTAAAACGATCTTTAGGATGAGGTAGATGACACAATGAAAACTAGATCTTAACTCCCCTCACTCCACCTTGACTTATAGAGATGACAACTTAGCTCCACAAAATGAGATACTTCAATTTTAAAAGACCACATCAATAAAGAGACTTCCCCAACATGTAGAGCAACAAATGACCTCAATTAATTAGGGTGACGAATAAAAAATAATCAGCTCATATGGAAAAAAATAACTAGAGATAGAATGTAGAGATGACCAATTTGAATTGTTAAACAATCTTTATTCATAGGAATTATAATGAATCAAGAAAATAAAATTAATCATCATCAAGACATAAATTAATGGAGAGCTAGTGGTGGCCATGACGGGTAACAAAGCCACAAGCAACTTCATGTGGAGATGAGACTTAGTAGAAGGGTTGATCTTAGTGCTATAGATGTACGAGGGGTTAAATGTGAAGATAAGACTTTTCTACTAACACTATGTCTAGTAACATAGGAGCTCCAACTTGATGAGGTGCCAATGAGTGTCAAGTGCATTGACCACCAAACTAATTCCCCTTAAACTTCTACCACGACAGGAGATAGTTCACACCATTGACTTGGTACCATGTTCAAACTTGTCAGTTTGGGCACTATAGAAGATGTGTTTGCAGCACTTAGATGAGCTCTAGCAGTGGATCTAAGTGTTGTTGTAAGTGGGACACATATAATTGTCCAAATCACTATTTGATGCCCTCATGTTGTCTTAGAAAAATAAGGACAAAATCTTAGGGCTATAGATTACTGTACCTTGAATAAATGTACAATTTGCAACATATACTCAATATCAAATGCAAATGATCTTTTTGAACATTAAGAAGTAGTCTAAGACTTCTCAAAGTTTGACTTCAAGAACAAATACCACCAAGTTTGAATTAAAGAAAGTGACAAACCAAAGATGGCATATATAATAGGATAGGTTTAAACTCACAGTGACGTCCTATGGGCTAATTAATGTCTTGACTACATTCTATAATTTAATAAATATTACTTTTCAGTTGTGCTTAGATGCCTTTATAGTTGTCTAACTAGATGACATCTTGGTTTATAATTGTAACATGTAAAAGCATATGAAGTACCTACAAATATAGGTCAACATAGCCTATATTTAAACCTAATGATGCATTTATTTGCACTAATATAAATAAACTTCTTAAGACATTTTATTGACAAATAAAGGGTGTGGATGAATCATTAAAAGGTGAAGACAATCACTTAATGGCTAATAATTGCATGTTTAAAGGAACAATGGAGATGGATAGAACAATATGCAGGAGCATTCTCAACATTAAAGGGAGAGCCATTGCGACTGAGTCAATCCTCCAAGCCTAACTTCATCAAATCATTTATCGTGCACATAAACATCATCATTAGTATTAATAACATTTGCAGTGTCCTTAACAAAAAATCACATATTATTTCCTTCAAGAGTAAAAAATTCAACAGAAACATAATTACCCAATTCATAAAAGGGAGATGATCACCATCATTCACTATTTCAAAATATGGAGACACTACTAATTGAGAAATCACTTCATGATCTATATAGATAATATGATGGCAAACTACTTCGACACAACCTAGATTGATGGCAAAACAAGCAAGATAGTTACAATGTTTGACACAATACAACTTGAGAATTCAACACAAAACTTAGAATAAAACATGGTCGCAAATATTGAGAAGATTGGCCATGGCTACAAGTTTGAATGTAATGAGTAGAAGTAGTACCATGACAAAATTTATTCAAGGTCTAGATGGGATGCGCAAAGAATACCCATGCATACAAATGCTTGAACTGAATTTAAAAATGCATAATAGGGCATTATTAACCAAATGATGACATTATGCACATTAGAGGATATCGAGTATACTTTTTGATTGCTAGGAACTTCTGATATTCATTAATTGTAGAGGCATATGATATATTATGGTTGAGGCACCTAATACAACAATGGACACTAGTGGTGCTTAGTAGGTTTACTTTTATCTAGGACTGGAGAAGAATGTGAAAAGCTTATGTGGAATCATGCATCATTTGCCAATGAGACAACATGGAGTGTCAATGATAAGTAGTCCTCCTACAACTACTACTTAACCTGGAGGAGGTATCATGGTACACCATTAAGACTTTATCATGCGTCTCCCCAAGAAGAAATAAGTGATAGCATCTTGGTGATCATTGACAAGCTATCAAAATATGAGATCTTCATGTTAACAAATCATCACTCTATGATTGAGGATGCGGCTCAGTTAATATTTAACTATGTTGTCAAGAATTGGAGCCTATCCCAAGTCATCATTTCTGACAATGATGCTCACTTAACAAGGTAAGTCTATAAGCTCTTGGTTGTTAAACTCGACACAACTACAGTCCCACACTAAAGTAAGAACCCAAGTATGTGACTGAATACGTGACTGATGGTGCATGAGTAGGAGCAAGTGGAGAGTTGCCCTCACCTGATATACGTACACCGGCAGCCCCAATGACTACCGCAACAAGTGAAAGTAATGTAAAATACTTAAGTCAACAGCAACTGCTACCTAAAAGGGACAATGGTCACCCACGAGGTGTAATGACCAGGAGGGGCCCTAGCACCCAAGACCTATGCTTAGGCCAGGGTGTAATAAGCCGTAATTGGCAGAATTGTTCCGACAATGATTAGCTGGCGGCGGTCCCAGCCTCAGCAATGATGGCAAGAATGTTGTTGACTCGAATATAAATGGGATCGGCGATCTCGACCCGGAGTGGAATCTGTCTTCTCTTCCCCTCCACCGGCAGATCTCGGGCATCGTCAGCGATAGACTGGAAAGATTTAAGGATAAAAAGGCAATTTCTTTGATAAATAGCCGGAGATTTGCTCTGGAATTTCCTCACCCTCGTGTCTCTCCTTGTGGTGCCTCTCAGATGGGATCTTCTCTTCATCTGCGCCTTCCTCTCCCCCTCCCGTTCATCTCTTCCTCCACCCGCCTCGTCCTCTGTCCCCGCCGAGCCCTCCGCCGATGCGGCGGCGGAAGACTCCGCACTGCCTGCGCCGCGCTCGATCGGTCCCAGCCGGCAAGTTTCTTCGCCATGCGATCTGATTTAGGGTTCCGTCTTCCTCGACAGTGGAATTTCTCCTCTCTCTGATCGCGTTCTGAATTGAATTTTACTCGTCTCAGGGAGAGGTTTCGAAGCCCAACTACCAGCCCGGACCCATCGACGACCTCCTCCTCAAGTTCTTCCGTCGTAAGATGGCGGAGGTGAGTTGTCGGAACCGTCGCTTTTTTTTTCCCTGCACGAAGTAACGGTAGCGGGAGAGCTCGCGCAAAACTCAGAAAGTCCATCCTCCGATAGTGAGTCGTTTCTCTCAGTAAAATTTACAGGTGCAGATATTCGTCAGGGATTCAAATTCATATCCTGTATCCTTATCAAATGTTAGGGGGCAATCGTTGGATGATTTTCTGCAGAAAACCGGCAGCATTTGGGATACTCAGAAGGGATTTCAATAGCGATCTCCTTTCTGTTGCCATGAGTGCCCATATCATCATTCATTTATTTGTTGTGGACCTGAAATCATTTACTTTATTTTCCTTAAAATTGTTCATCAAAGATTTCTATATATGTGTATATCAATTACTTCCGCTGCCATGGGGCTAAATTGAGAACAAACTGAAAATATGAAAATTTTGGTGCACAGTACGTCAATGTATCTTTTAGTTCATTTGAGCTTTAAAACCTCAACACCATAAGCTTTTCCTTCTTAAGCTTAAGTGCCCTCACAGTCATCCTCCGTGCTTTAAAAGCTATAGGAGGTTGGATGGGACTCGCAAAAGCCTGGATATGATGGACTGATGGAGGCCGTGAACCAGCTCATGATGAAAGGAAGCAAGCAAGAAATTGAGCAAACAGCGGTAACAATATCAAATCTGTCTTATAGCAATGGATATTGAATCTGATTGTTGTACTTGTATCATCATCGCATTCAATCAATCCAGCACATGAACGTCTTATTTTGCAGGGGACCTTTCCTTTCTTCTCTTGACTTCTTCTACTACATGATTCATTGTATAAATAATTCTTAAATTCTATTTTTTATCGTAAGGATTGATAGCTTTTCTCATGGAGATTTACCGTCGTGGTGCTTTCTCATAGCTTGATAGTAAGTGCAAGGAGAATTGGTCTCCCCTAGGGAGATAATTCATTTTAATCCGTGTGATATCCACAAAAAATCATTACCTCATTGCTCAGATAATGTTATGCTTTGATGAGAGGAAATCACGTCATTGTTCTTGAGCTATACTTACTTCCACCTCATTATTCTTGAGCTATGCCCATTCTAGTGGTACTGACGAAGTTGATGACTGTTTTTTTCTCCTTGAAGAGGGGAGTTTGACATTTCTTCTGATTGCAGGTACGGGTACTAAGATCTCTGTTCCCCCCATCCCTACCGGAACTCTTTCAACTGATCATAACACCAATTGGAGGGGGGAAACCAGCTGCTATGATGCTTGGTAAGCTAGTCTCTCTCCCTCACTACACCCACCCTTATACTGATAATTTATGGTCCCATTTTATTTCCACAAGTGGTAGCTCGCTTAAAATGGAATACCCCCATCTCTATTTCCAGCAAGGGCGACAGCTCTATTGTGTCAATGGCTGATGGGGAGATGCACAGTCAACTCGGTTGACCTTCCAGATGGGTCCTCTTCCACAACTGGGGTACTGTTCAAAGTTTCTCACCACTCTCGTTCCAGATGGTGACTTCTGTATTACGTATATTAAAAAATTTAAGACTTTAATTTAAAAAACCTTCGTAGGTATTTGTGGAAAGGTGCAAGTATTTAGAGGAGAGCAAATGCGTTGGAGTTTGTATCAACACCTGCAAGCTTCCAACTCAGGTTAGTGGATGGCAATGATCGGTAATATCTGTGATCCTTTGCCCATATGTAACTTAGAGGTGTCATGTTTAGATATGTTGGTACAATTTTCCATAATCAATGATGTTGCCCATTGCTTCTTTTTTTTAGGTGATTAATTCATAGAGGATCCTAGATGGGTCATTATAGACCTTTAGAACTTCGTATTTTCTTTTGTAATAGGTTTATTCTAGGCTGAGCTCTCTCTCTCTCTCTCTCTCTCTCTCACTCACTCACTCACTCACTCACTCACTCACTCATTCCTTAATCCCCCCATTGCAAAATGTTCATATAAGGTTTTCCTCGGATGAACTGAAAGTACTGTTTAATAGCTCAAATATACCTACCCTAGAGAGCCCTACATTCATTCATGTCTTATTAAACATGTTTTAGGGGTTTTGATTTAAATTTAAGATCTACAACGGAAATACTTTATCCTACTAATTGGAATCTGTAATACTAATGAGAACCCTAGATTCATTAATGTCTTATTAGACATGTTTCAGGGTTTTAATCTTAAATTTAACATCTACAACGGAAATAATTTATTCCACTAATTGGATTGTGGGAAATAACAAGGTTGGCGAGTCATACACTTAATGGGACTAATTTTAGCTCACTTGATGTGGGAAGGGAGATGGTCAATACATGGCAATTATGACGCTAAGATGCGGTAGATTTTTGTGTCTAATTTCTACCGCATGATGATCAATCTGAAGCCTTGTTCCTTCATTTTTCTCCCACCAACCATCTTATCTGTGATCATCCTTGCAGACATTCTTCAGAAACTATATGGGAGTTCCTTTGCTGATGGAACCAAACTTCCAGGACTACAGCTGTCAGGTGATTGATTGTATACTTAATTTTTCCTCAGAAAACATGATATAGGGAAAGGAAACTTTGATATAAAAAGATGAAATCAGTAGATGGTCGACCAATTTCTACTACCCAATTGGTACTAGAGGAAGGAAAGTAGGGTTGGGTCGGGGAGTAAATGGGGCGGTCCGCCCATCCCAGACTGTGGCCCGTTTCTAGTGCCATCAGTCTTCCCCATCTCCTTGCTAGACCTGGGCCAGGCTTGATGACGGCCCATTTTTTCATGCCATTTTCGTCAATAATTTCTATCTCAAACTCCCCCCCCCCCCATCTTTTGTTTCAACAGTTCAAGTTTGGGGTGGCCCCCCCGGAGCCCGCAGAGGATAAGACCCTTCTGGAGCCCTGCTTGGAGATCTGCCCAAATGCCACTCGTCGGCGGGAGCTTAGTACAAGGGCTTCCGCTATGCAATGCCCAAAGGCATAATCTCTACGTTGTAGCATGCAAATATGACAATAACCCCCAGTTAAAGCAGAAAAGTGGACCATACTAAGAGGCTCAATTGGGTACCGAATTCAGTGTCCTGACTTTGGACTTTCAAAGTACCTATCGAAGTTATAGGTTGAATTCTAAGGTAAAATAAGGACCACTTATCTATCAGTCAGCTATTTTGCAGATATACAAAGATTAAAAAAAAACACACGCAGTTCTCAATCATAATTAGCTGTGATCGCTAGAAGTTTGCCAAATTCATCTCTCACAACGTACATTTTCATGTGAAAAGTAGCTTCCCACATGTTCTCATGGGAAAATGATCATCAGTACAGGCCAGGAAGGCCACAGACAACCCACATATTTTTCACCCAAGGAAAGTAAATATGGTGATTTTAACTTGGCCAATATCAAAACAAAGACTTTACAATGGGTTTTAACATTGCAGACTTCGGCGCGCCCTTTAGTTGCTCATGATCATGAGGCCAGCGTTGTGATATACCCTGGTGTGATGACAAGTACATGAACCTATCAGTAATTGACACATGGCTAGGGGAAATGGAAGGCCACGAATCAGGGCTACTACACAGATTAATGGTTATAAGCCGACCTCTTCAAAGTCAAGAAGAGGTCACTGACATCCCATAAATAAGGAAGGCATATCAACCCACTTACATTCAGAGGGATTACCATGCACAGAGCACAATATATCTTGCCATTTTGAGCCGAAACTTACAAGTTCTCTGTTGAATGGGAAAACATGGCGCGCATGCGAAGGGTTTCAACGATCCCAGCCAGAGGGTCGCCGTCTTTCCCGAGGTTTTTCCCTGGAGCTGTAAAGAGAGGATCAGAAAGATGATACCTGGTTAGTTAGTCACAGAATTACGTGACAAAAGGAATATCTGCACAAGATTGTCCATTTGACATATCGCATGGCTGAGATAGGTAAATTTCATCTAAGATCGTAGTAACCAAATGAGCCAATAGTGCACAAGAAAATAATTTCAAACCTTTCGGAGGTCCTTTGACTTTCGTTTTCATTCGAATTGACCCCAGGATTTGCTCCAGTTGTGGAGTTAACAGCAGGGGCAGTTGCTGGTCTGTATGGCTCTCCACCAATAGAGCCCCCGGAAACAAAACCTGAGAGCACTGGCCTCTTGCTGGCAAAGGTGTTCAATTCACTTCTACTCTGGGTCTGGGTGTTGGACGATGCGGAGACAAAACTGCTCTTAAACTGTGCCATCATTCCTGTTCTCAGAGCATTTACGGTTGCCGTCCTATTTGAAACAGATGGCGGTGCTGTGTTCGTTGACTCAGAAGTGTATCCAATACCAAGGCCAAAGTCAACTCCACGCACACCTCTTCCACCAGCCCTTCCTCTGCCTGCACCCTTCTTCCCACCTGTAATGACCCAAGTGGGAAAAAGAAAGCGACGTGAGATAAGGCACAGAGTTTCATACGGGTTGAAAACGCGATTCGAGGTGTTCTGATATCTTTAAAATGAGAACAAAAAACGAACGCATACCTGACCCTTTACGTGAATCCCTTTTGGACTTAAACCTTCCATCCTAAAAATTTTCAAACGAATAAAAAACATCAGAAGATTATCCAAATGCTTGTGAAAAATGTACCACTTGTAGATTAACTAGTATTAGTGTCCGTCACCAAGCTTATAAATTGTGTGGAAGAACAAATGCTATCCGATGAACAGAAGGAGCAGGAAAAGGAAAAGTGTGATAACAAAAGGGGAAAATATTCTGTCAGCATACTATTGTAGCATAAAATTGAGATGAGAAATAGTTTGGGGCAACAAGTAATAAAAGACCAGTAGTCCTTACTGTGCGTTGGTAATCAAGACATTGTACACATGAGCATGAAAAAAAATGTACCATATCTAACAAACAATTTAAGCTCTTATCTGAATTTAGTTATAATGACGAGGAATCAAAGGTAAGTTATTAGAATCATAACTAAACAATAGGATACTAAACACTATAATGTTTTACCTTCATGGCAAGATCCATCAATTCAGCAGGCACATTTTGACCAGCAGCAACTAAACTATTCACCAATTCTCCAGCAAATCGAGCTTCTTTCTGTGTAACCAGGGTATATGCAACCCCATCTTTATCTCCAGCACGACCAGTTCTTCCAATTCGGTGAACATGCATGTCCATATCTCTGGCAATATCAAAGTTCACAACTGACTTTAATGATTTGATATCAAGTCCACGTGCCGCAACATCAGTTGCAATAAGGACATGGAAAATTCCAGCTTTAAACTTTTGCAAAGTCTCCATACGTGAAGCCTGGTCTTTATCACCATGAAGAGCGGCAACCTTGAAACCTTTTTGGATCAACTGTGATTCAACCTCATCTACGGTAGCCTTTTTAGAAGCAAACACGAGAACATCTCCCTCATCAATCATTTCTGGAAGTTTTTCAAGAAGCCAAGACATTTTTTCAGCATCTGACGGGATTACGTTAACAACTTGAGTAATATCTTCATTGGCCCTTCCAACCTCACCAACTGTAACTCTGACAGGATCTGCGAGGATTTCTCGAGCTAAACGCTCAACTTTCTGTGGCATTGTCGCGGAAAATAATAAAGTCTGCCGTTCTGGTCTAATCTGACCCACAATTGACCTAATCTGTGGTTCAAATCCCAGATCAAACATCCGGTCAGCTTCATCAAGAACTAGGTATGTTGCCCTCATCATCGTCAATGCCTTCATTTTTAGCAAGTCAATTAATCTCCCAGGTGTTGCAACCACAATTTCACAACCAGCCTTGAGTTCTTTGAACTGTTCTAGTTTAGACATGCCACCGTAGACAGCTGACACCCGGATACCGTGGGACTTCGAAAACTTTTTTGACTCTAGGTATATCTGATGTGCTAACTCTCTAGTAGGTGCACATATAACTCCAATGGGACCCTCTTCCTTCTTGAGTTCAGGCTGGTCCATTATATGCACTATCATGGGAAGCACAAATGCAGCAGTCTTACCGGAACCAGTTTTTGCAATGCCAATAATATCTCTTCCAGACAGTACGATGGGTAATGCTTGACATTGTATCGTAGTTGGCTTTTCATAGCCCTGTTTGGAAATTGCGTTCATTAACGTAGAAGAAAACCCACAATCTTCAAACTGTTTGATTGGTCTTGGCACATCGAATCCTGAAACCCTTATACCAAGGCTTTTTCTATATTCTGCAACCTCCTGTTCTGTCATTCCTGAGATAGGATAAGAAAAAAGTGTCATGCGTAGACACCTCAAAACCTGTCTTTTTATAATCCAGTACTTAAAAATAGGTTAGAAAAAAGTACAATCAGTGAACAAGAAGAGCAAAGGAAAATGAAATAGACAGATCAATAGGAAAAGAAGCAATGTATCGTAGAAATAGACAGATCAATAGGAAAAGAAGCAATGTATCATTCACGAATAGGAATTTTCCGCAAAAATCAGCAAACATTGCATTTCCATAAGAATTGAAAAATTACACTACTAACAAGAGAGAAATAAGAATACTAAGTTTTATTCCTTATCCAGACAACTCATTACTCTCAATCATATGCATTAACCCTACTGCCTGAGTTCTTGAACTGGCTACCATAGTATGCCCGTAAAATGAGTAGCGTTTTCAGTCCAAAAATTAAGCATAAAACGGTAAATATATCACCCCAAATATCAAGATATATCAGTGGGGCTTGGAAAAATGATGACCAGGAGAATCAGTGAACCTCTGAGAAAAAATCAAAAGAAAGAGGAAAAATAAAGGAAAAGAAAGCGACATGGCACCGTTAATTCCTCTGTGATCCTCAATCAGTTACAGATCATTTGGCTCAGCTTTATTGCTAAACATCCAAATAACCTATGATTGAAAATTTAAAGCTGACTTGTAACAGTTACTAGTGTAGAACCACAGCCCTAAAAGAGCATGGAAGTGTTAAAAATCCATCCACAATTTCTCTGGATGGCAGGCCGGACAGGACCTCTGCTAGGGAGGATCCATGAAGTTTCTCCTTGTGAGAACAGTTAACACCGTTCACCATAGAATATTTCTGTTTTTAAAGATTGTTACTTTGCCCCCCAATTGAGGAAAAAAATTAACGTTCTTGTTAAAAATAATGAGTCGCATTATCTTTGACCTAGGAACAATGGGCCAAACTGTTATATGCAACCTGGTTCTCCAATAAGGAAATATTTTATCTCGGGGGAGCTACATTTGCGAATACTATTAGAAGTCCTCAGCTAGTTGGCCCAGCATTGGAAAGCCATAAACTTCTTCAGCAGGTAACTTCTAGAAATCCTATATTTTTTTTCCCAATCACTCTGTCCAAATATCTATTGTCATACCCAAGTGTAGCACAAATTAATGTTCTAAAAAAAAAGAGTAAACCTAGAGTCAGTAAATCATAACGTTATCTGGCAACTCACTTCCAAAACCTTTGAATCCTTTTGGACAAGCTATTGCCACACATGTAATGTCCATTTTAGCAGCAACAACAATGGTTGAAGGACATTAGATATAAACATGCTTTTCATCTCAGCAGCCTTGTAAAGTGGGATAAAGCAATCGATTCAGGGAATGCAAATTATTCCCACTAAAAATAAAAAACTGGAGCCCATTCAGAAAAGTAAGTTTTCGCAGCCTGTTTCTCTTCCCATTACACATCGTAAGCTGATTCACTGAAGCTCCACACATTAATTGTTTACACGATCTCGAAGATTTTGGTTTAACCCTTAGTGCTGAGTCGTAAGAAATAACAGAAAATCACATTTATCTAGCAGGACGGAATTTATGAACTACTTAACCGATTGGTCCAAAAAAGTACAGGTAAAAATATTGTTCTTTTTAATAAGTACCTGATATGGAGGGCTTTTCGTCATAAAAGTCCTTGTTGAACGATTCATAATCGATACTGCTATGATCCAGGGCCGGTATAGGCTCGATTTTTTTCTTGTCTAAAACCACCGGGTTGTCATCAGAGTCGTACTCTATCATCCCGGCATCTACAGCCTTAGCCGCAGCGTACACCTCCTCGTCTGAATCGTACCCCGCGTGCAGGGCATCCGAGGCCAGGGTCAGACCAACGTCCTTCTTTGCTCTCAGAAAGCTATCCATGGGATCATCCTCGTCCTCATGGAATCTGTCTCCCTTGTCCTTCTTATCATCGACGGAGGTCGAAGGCGCCCGCTGCATCTCCTCCTGAATTCCCTGCATAAACGCATCTAGGGGATCGATCTCGCCATCGTCCGCACCCCCACTCTTCGACGGATGGCCCTCGGCGCCATCGGACTCGTATTCAATCTCGTCAACATCGTTGTCCTCGTAGTTGTCATGAACGCCACCGCCGCGGGAGGAGGGAGGTACGTAGAGGCGCTGCGGAGCCTGGGAGCGCTCGAAGCTGTAGGTGGCGGGCCGGCTGATGCCGAAGCCTTCGAATCCGAATTTCCTCTTCGACATGAATTACCAGCCCTCGAACCCTAGTGACTTCAGCTGAAACCTGGGAGTCGGAAGTCGGAAGGATTCCTTCTGGGCGACGATAAACACAAACTAGGGTTCGTCGCTTTCGAGTTCTTACTGACGGATGCGGCCGAAACTGCAGGGAGCTTCCGCGAGAACCGCTTGCATTTGCAGCAGAGGGTCGGAAGGGCTGCAGACGAGGGTAGAAGGTCTAAGCTAACTAAATATTTCTTTCCTGTAGTGAAGTATAAAGAAAATACCTCCGAGATTTAAATATCCACAAAGCCCTTACACATGTTTATATATTTTTATACCCCCAAAGGCCAAATCTATAACGGTTTGCTAGTAAATTACAGCTTGTGAGATCAAAATACCAAAAATCTATATTTTAAAATACGAAATATATTATAAAGATGATTTTTTCTTTGAAAAAAGTAGTAATTTCCCTAAATTTTCATTATCAAGTTCTATAAATTAAGTGATTAATTTAATATTTAAATGTCTTGATTCTAATCATAGCAATTTGAAAATAGATGAGACATTTCCATGAATATGAAAAGACATAAATGTGATTCTATGTATTTACATAATTATATTAAATGAGGACATTTGGGTGCTTAGAATTGATGTGTGCAATACCCTTGAGAAATAAAATTTTTATGAAGCCTAAAACTAAAGAGTGCGAATTGGATCCAGGATAACTAGAGCAATCGGTCCATTTTATTCATGGCACTTTTCTCAGCCCAATAAGAAGATAAACAAAATATAAAAACTACCATCTCGCCCTAACCCTAACTCTAATCTCCATCTTCTTCTTGGACAATTGATTGAGAGAAAACTTGAAGAGGAGAAGAACAAGGACGATTCCTTTTATTTAGATTGATGTTCTTGATCTTCTTCCCAACAAAGAGAAGAAGAACACTATCCTCCATGCCACTCACATCCGAGTAGGAAGGGACGAAGAGAAAGATCAAGAAATCAATGAGAAGAATGAAGGAAAATAAAGTTTAAGCCTTTAAAGACGGAGTTCTTGTTGAAGGTTTTGGGGAGCTATGGTAGTAGTCTGCTATAATTGAAATAGAAGTAATAATATAGCCTCAAATGAAGATACGATTGCTCATTCAAAAATTATATGATTTACCTCAGATAAATAAAAAATTTAAATAGACGCATGAATTCCTGATCTCAATATATAATATCATAGCAGAGGGAAAATATGATTGTTCAAATTATTTTTGAAATAATTTTCATTAATATTTATAAAATCATGTGCGGTAGTATGAATGGTTTGAATTCAGTCAATTAATCTGATATCAAGAATAATAAAAAGTAATGATTTAAAATCACGAACATCTAGTAGATGGGGTAAGCTATCAAAATCATATTTTCAGTAAGGATTATCATTGCGTGATGCACTAATCACTAATTTCCTATTATTTTAATTTATGTAAATATGAATAATTCTACATCGATATGTAAATTAATATTTTTGAGGGATATAATTCCAGAATTCAACACTATGAGACTCCAACGTATTCCTCAAATTCTTATTCGAATATTTAAAAGCACGAACTTTAATTTAACATGAATTATATTTAATTATATTCATATTCCTGTATAAAACAATATATTCATTTTTCAAGCATTATAATTAATAAGCACAATTCGAACCTCTAATTAGTCTTATGTGTGGCTTTTATTATCAAAATATTATTGATTTAATACTCAAACAAATGAAATATTATACTTATCCCTGACTGCTTACTTTGGGCTTAGGAAAGAAATAACAATCTACTTGGCAAAAGAAGCTAAAAAGTTTGGTAAATGTTCCTTAGTTGATGAGAAAATAGACATTTCACCTAATATTATTATACTCATATAGAAATAAGATTACAATGCAAATATATTTATGTTTTCTTTCCTTTGTGGATCTTAGTTCTTTGACGTATTTATAAATTTAATAGGGCAATGCACATGTCACGTGGATTATTATACCTTATATAGAAATAGGATTATTGTATGAAAATATTTATGTTTTTCTTAATTTGTGGAGATTAAATTTTAACTTATTTATAAATTATTCAAGCTTTTATTACCTTTATCGTTGTTAAACAATCCATGACGTGTTTTGAATCTGCTGAGGTCAGGTTCTTAAAAAAATTGCAACGTTCATGATGTTATCTGGCCATTGCTAGGAAGATACCAATATTCATATAATATCCTATCAACTTAGTTGTGGAAAATTTTCAGGAATAAGTCAAAGTCTACAAGAATGAAACTAGGTATAATGAAATAGAGGTGGGACATGAATGTATGATAGTCATCGCATACTAGTAGTTTCTATAATTAGATGAGCGAGTCTAAGGATGGTCGTACTCAGTTTTTTGCGAACTGATATCTAGATAGAAGGCCCAATAACTCGAACATTTTGATAACAATGATGGAGGCTCTTGGACCGCGCGCACCCATTACGACGTTCACACAAATGTGAGCTTGAACGATAAGGCGAGCTGTTAAGAACCTTGATGATTACGGCGAAAGTAAACCTTCCATAAGAAAACATGCTTATTCCATTCTAAACTTCGTTAAATGACCCATTTATACAAAAAGGTTACGTACAATGAAGGAAAACGCTATTCTTCTAGAATAAGAGCAATAGCTCGGTTCCGGTATAATGTTCTTAAAATTTCTTAAGATTTTAAGGCCATCTCTGATAGAAAACGCTATTCTTCTAGATCAATTTCTTAAAATATGAGTAAATAGATTATGATAACAGAAAATGATGCGAGTTAATATTAAGGCCATCTCTGATAGTAAATGCCTTTAAAGTGAGTGAATGAAAGTATTGATCTCATCATTATCAGGCATCGTAATTTCTTACTATTAAAGCCGGTCACAAAAGTTCAGTAATGCTCTGAAGTGTCAATGGACCAGGTTGGTCGGGAACTCAGTCCCATACTAGCCGACCGCAGATTGATAACTAACGCAGTCTGATCCATTGTGCAGATTGGTACAACGAGCGAGCAAGCGAGAGAGAGAGAGAGAGAGAGAGAGAGAGAGAGAGAGAGAGAGAGAGAGAGAAAGAGAGACACAGACTTGGGATGTGTTGGCATCGTCCCAGACAGGTAAAGTACTAACAAACTATGCTTTATTTCCATAATAAGTACTAACACTCCTTCCACGACTTGATTATTAGCGTGGCGATGCGACTCATCCGTTCGTGCTAGGATTTTGTTGTGGGACAAAATGATGACAGACTTTATTAACTTAGACTAACAAACTATTCATGACTCTCACAGCAGACTTATGAAATCTAGAGGGATTAAATAAGTTAGATCCGAGTAATCCCGCAAGAATTGGAAAGGATTGGATCGACGCAATTAAAGAATTCATAGAGATTAGGGTGCTACTACAGTCAATAAATTGAATTGTACGAATCAAGTGGGTTCTCTCTCTTACTCTATCCACCAACTATATCTTCAGGGAACCTATCTAGGATCACTCCGCAACAATATTGCAAGAAAATATACTAGAAGAACAAATAGCTCATAAATGGAAAGATAGAGAGTTTAGAAATAACCCTGATGCGGAAGCAGACGACGGTTTGATGATGGCTTGAGGGCAGAAGCTGAATGTTGCTTGGCGGATAGTTGGCTGTCTTCCTCGATGATCAATAGCCTCTGACTCAGTCCAGCGATTCGTTTCAGTGAACCAGGACTTAAGCTTAACTGACTGACAATAATAAAGGGAGGAAAAACATGACTGAGTCGTGCAAGGCGGAGGGAACGGAGAGACAGCAGGATGAGTGGAACGGATGTAGGCGGAGTTTGGGCTGATGGTGGTTAAGGTGTGAGGTTGGCAGCGGTTGTGGAGATAAAGGGTTAGGCGTTAAGACGCAGAGATAATAACGAAGACGTCGTAAGGTATTGATAGGAGGTTGAAATGGTGTCAGCGAATGGTGATGGTGAGGAGGGAAGAAAGGGTGAGGCGGCGGCGGAGATTGAATAAAGTGTGGGTGGCGAAGGTAGGAGGAGAGAAGATAGATGATGGTCTCTCGATCTTTCTCTCACGGAGCGGTGATGCACGGCCTTCACAGCCTCTCCATCACGGAGTAACAAACAGGAAAGCCTTTCTCGAAAATTATTCTCTGCCTACATAATAAGATTAGGAGATTATTTATAGAGTTCATAAACAACACAAAAGACGGACTTAATAATAGAGAAAACCGCTCCTAAATGGGCTCCGGCCGGTACGCTGTTGACGCGGTCGCAAGTTCCATCCCCTGGCTCCTCACTAGATTTAATCTTAAAGAGGGGAAGATCCCGTCGTTTCCCCCCTCGTCAAACGCTGCCCTTGACGGCGTTACTGTATCCGGTAACGTCGTCGAACAGCTTGTTCCACAGCATTATACCCCCGTACTTGGGAGAAGATTTGATCGCTGGAAGAACCTGGGAGATCAGCACCTGGGGCGGGAGGAAGCCGCTGCCTGCAGCCGCGGGGGCAGCGGGAAGCCCCAGGAACACCTTGCCGGTGGGGATGTTGGCCCAGTTGTTTGACCATGCCGTCCTGAGCCTGCTGGTGTCCCCGTTCGAGTACTGGCACGGTGGGTTATTGTAGAACTGCACCCAGACGAAGTCAAAGACTCCAGTGTTGATGGCTCTACCGAGGAACCGGTCCGGGAAGGGGCACTGAGGCGCGGCGGATAGCAACACCGTCTTCCCGGCTTGTTGGCCGAGGTTCTTGAGCGCCCGTCCGAGGTCGCCGTAGAAAACGTCAGAGCCTTGCTCGATGTCGAAGTCAATGCCGTCAAGCGCGGCATTGCCGAGAGGGCGGAAGTTGGATTGTCCGCCGAGGAAGTTGTTCCATAGGTAGCTGGCTACCTGCTGGGCGTCGTTGGGGTTGGAGAGGCCATAGCTGCCCACGCCGCCACCGATGGAGAGGAGCACCTTGATGCCTCGGCCCTGGCAGGCGCGGATACCGTCGCTGACACTGATGCAGCC